ACCCTTAGCAGGATGCAGCGCACCCTTCATGCGACTCGCCGAATAACCCACGGCGCTTCGCGCTTGATGATGTGAGAGTCTGGTCCGGTGAGAACCCGGCGTGCTCCGTCCCGGCTTTGTAGGGATGCGAGGTCAATGGTCTAGCGACTACGGCATGCACGACTATGAGTACCCCCCCCCCCCCTTCTTGTGTTAGCCCCCCGAGGGATTGGCCATCCGTGGAATCTACAACGTATCAGTGCTTTTCCTAGTAGCAACTCTCGGGGTTGGTTCTCATAAGCTGTTCCGTTCGCACCTCGCTGCCATTACAGCGAATGTTGAGGCATCTACAGTATACCAAGTCGTTCCTCTCTCCGCTGTTTTCTACCTTTTCGGCAACAGTCTGTGAAAGAGAGGAACAGCGTGCCGGATGAGGAGCAGGATGCTTTGGGGCTGTTCTTCAGCGTGGTTGTCGTGGACGCACGGGACAATCACCCTCAGCCAGCCGGCAACCCCGACACGGCGCTACCCTTGGCACGTCGCGGGAAGAGGCAAATCGGTCACATGGCTGCGGCCAGAGGGCTCATGGGCAGCGCGAAAAAGGTGCGAGCAGTCATACCCTTCACTATCCTTCTGTTTCGACATCATTATTCATTCACAAAGCTCGATGCACGTACTCTTGTTCAAAAATGTTCTGGCTGTACACCACGAATGTAAATTGTGATGCTTCCCATCGCTTCGTGTTCTCTTGGCGTGCTGTCGTTGAAGGGCTCTGGAATCAAGCCGGAAAGGAACAGCCACAACTCCCTCTTAGCCAGGCAGAGCCAAGTCCGAGATTTCATGACAAAGGTTGCCTACAATTAGGTTGAGCTTGGTCCAGACCGCAAATCCACGTCAAGGGATGGAGTCGACAAGCGCAATGTTTTCGGATGTCTTGAAGCACGATCATAGGTAGGATATTGGCTTCAACGCCCGGTGGGCTAAACTGCGAGATGGTTCCTGCGTACGAGTTGTTTCTCCCTCTCCTGGTATTGTTGGCAGGTTTCAGCTCGCTCACCAAAGAGGCTCATGACGCCAACCATGCAAAGAGCTACGGTTGTACTTCTGCAGCATATCCTCTTGCATGGGTGCATGACTCACCGTCCGACATGCACACAAGGAGGATACAATTGGTTTCTGTGGATATTGCACAACGACGCAATCCACGAGCCATACTTTCGTAGCTTTTCCTCCACGGGAAGTCCCTAGTGTTGAAACTCTTTCGGCCCGATTAATTCGATTGCATTTTGTGTCCATTGCCCCCTCCTCCGCCCCACAGGCCCGGTGCAAACCCGGCGTGCTCCGTCCCGGCTTTGTAGGGATGCGAGGTCAATGGTCTAACGGCTACGGCATGCACGACTATGAGTACAGCCTCCCCCTCACTATGTTTTGGTCCATCTACCTAGACGAGGACTTTGCCCTAGACCGCCTACTCGTATAAATAGTGCCCCCTTCATCCCGCACCGCCTCCTTCCCCGCACTCTTCCAGCCGAAAACCGTGAGCGTCCTCTGCCACAAGCTAGTCAGTACAAAGTCAATCCTAAGGATAGGAGGCGCACGAGGAAGTCCACACCGCGTATGACAGCAAGCAAGACCAAGGCTTCAAAAAGTTGTATGTGTTCGTCGAGGATGATGCCGGAGTCACGTGGGTTTCTACTGTTGTCGCTGCTTATCGTGTGGTCGCGTGGGTAGCGGAACGAGCAGAGTGGCAAGCTTCGCGTTTCGCGTGATCGTGTCGAACAAACACCGAACGGACGGTCAACCCGCTTACAATATATGTTCAATGGTGTGCACCTGGTGCCTATCAGTCGGGAAACAAGGGACCCCTTCCAAGACAATTTGCGACATGCCTAGGATGCACTTCGGACTCACATGTTATGCTTGGGAGCAGATGAAATCAACACATTTTCAGCCTCACAGAGGAGCGCTCAATCTGTCGCACGGCCCTCTCAGTCCACACCATCTAGTTTCACGAGGCTTCACTCCCCCTACCCCTTCTCCCGCCCTCAATACCGGACAAGGGTGTAGCACAACGTACCCATGGTCCATGGCGACGATAGTCGTGTATACTTACGGCGAAACGTCTTGAACCTTCCATACGCCTTGAGCAGCAGCACTCACTAGCCGCCCCGTGTCAAAGTATATCGTCGCACAACTTTGGCAAGGAGAAATGACAGCTTCATTCAGAGAGCACGATCAGCCAACCTCGTCAACGCGCAGAAAAATGAGGCAGAGAGCGAGAATCCTCGAGCAAACAAGCGATACCACTGCGTCCTAGCCACACTTGTCAACATCCTGGCGGTGGACTGCGGGGAGGATCCTTGTCCCCGGCATGTAGTACGCCCAGCGAATACGTAAACAACCATGAAAACAACAACATCAACAACAACAACAAACTACTACCCTACAATTTAAAACAATGTGGAACATGACGAATCTTGGAGAAAGCAGAGGCTAAGGGTGCAGCCAGTCTCAAGACAGAGAATCAACCAACGAGGAGCCTTGTCCGGAGAGTTTTCGTACACCACTGCCGCCCCCCCCCCCCCCCCCCCCCCCCCCCCCCCCCCCCCCCCCCCCCCCCCCCCCCCCCCCCCC